ATTCGCCGTGTTTACAACAAACACATCATTTTGACATAATTGTCTTGGCAATATTGTCTGGTGTAAACCCTAAGTAACAAAAGCTTTGCTCACACACGAACCCATACACAGTGCCTTGCTAAGGGAGCCGATTTTGTCAAGAGGAAGCGAGAAAACTGTTTTTTGAGCAAACCTTTTATTATTGAATCATGGTTTTTAAATAAAATATTTTTTTATTGAAAAGTAGTTAATTTATGTACAGACATGTATGTATGTATGTATTTTCGTATGTATACCACATAAAAAAGAAAAACAATACGTACACTTAATAAAGCCTTCAACTGGTTTACAAAAACGCTATTCTTTTATTAAAACAAGAATATAAAAATATAATATAAGCAAGCATCGCTTTGTAAATGCTTTAGTTGAAGCGCTCACCAAGGGTTGACACACAATGTTAAAATACAATGAAGTATAAAATTAAGAAGGGAGCGCTTACTGCTGAATATGCAGCGCTCCAATAGAACTAATGGAGCGCTTCTGGCCCCATTGGGTATATACGTATGTGAATGTATCTAGTTATTATATGAGGCCTTGATCGCCAGAGTAGCTTAACGAACATTTCAAAAAAGTTGAGGTGCACCTTAAAATGCATTACCACAATCGAAACGGTAATGGCCCGAGGCACACCCTTTAGTTTTCTTTTACTATAATATATAGCATCACGTAGGTGCATTGAATTTTTTAATAAAAGTCCGCATTTTTTTTTTATAGATCCTTCTGTCTCATATTACTAAAGATATTTTTGTAAATAGGCTCCTCTGGCCCACATCGCCTCATATGTAAAATGAATTTGTATAGTTTCCTTTTAATAAAACTATTTATTGTACCCATGTCTTATTTATGGCAAATAAACGAGGTTTGTTTTTACAGTTTATTATATAATAAAACGTTGTTTTTTATTGGTAACTTTTTTTTTTTATTCTGGTCAGAAAATATTTTGTCGTGTGGCCACCGTGATTAGGATAGTCAAGAAATTATCGCGACGCGAGACTTTAAAAGCATACTTTCCTGAAAGTAGCAACAGATTTGATCTTTTAGCTGTGGATCAGGGATAGGAACAAAGAAGGTAACAGAAGACTAACCAAAACTAGATACTGCTTGCTTTAGTGAAATCTTCACTTCTAACGAACCACAACATTGAAACGTGATTAACTTTAACATTCTTGAAAAAATCAGGGAAGATGGCTATGGAGTAGGGATGTTGCGAATGCGAATGTTAGGAATAACATTAAAAAAGCTATAACCAACTTAAGCCATCGTTTTTATTACTTAATAATTTTGTAAATTATTAGAACATTGAACAAGTGCTTATTATCTGGCGACTATCATTTGGTGGCCAAAAGTCGAGAAGTAACCAAATTTATTTGAAACTTAGTGTTTGGGGGTTTTTGAG